AGCATTATGAATCACAAGCACTGTTTTTACTTTACATTTAGTTTCAGACTCTTGACTAAAGTTACGAAATATTTTAACTAACCAAATAAATACTTCGATTCCGGATTTTGTACCTTTGTACTTTAAAACTGCACATCCATGGTGTATTTTTTGCTGTTATGATAATAAGATAATAGTTGCTAATGTTTACAGATCCCACGGTCACGGGTGACTGACGATTGTCAGTCACAGGGGACCTGAAAACGGCCCGAAAGCGATTTAGTTTTGAAAAAATACTTTTATTACCAATACTACTCACAACTCGTGAAATACCATATAATATTTACTTATTACGTACATTAAGGCCCATTATTAAGAATACGGCAAACAAATCTTAATCAGAAAATAGGCCCATTAATTCTGTCGAACACTTAACCTCCAAATAAAATTGAAACTAAAATACCCGTCGTCATGTCTCGAGCCTTACCTAACCCAGGCCTAGTTGAGTGGAGCACCTAACCGCCGGCTAGCCGAATTGACGTTTTCTATGAAGGTGAAACCAATGGCAAGCGGTCGTCGACCCCGCTGCCTATTATGAGAAACTCCTATTGGAAGTGCGAATTTAGGTTGCTAAACTCTTCCAACGTAAATCTTGTTTGGGAATGATGTCGGAGATATTTATGCTTTACAATTCTGGTTACGTCAGGGTAAAGATTTAGTCCCAATGTTGTTTGGTTTTCTTATTTATCTACTACATCTACATTTATAATAATAATTTTTAGCCGTGGGGCGACGGCTTAAGAATACATTGTCGCCTCCCCATACATGCCCGTGGGGGTCGTAAGAGGCGACCGAGGGCGTCACAAGTGTCCATCTGCTTAGCATTGTGGTAGGCTCTGTGCCGACTGGATAGCGACCACAGTACACACGGCGGAAAACCCTCCACAGTGAAACGCTTTTGCGAATCGCGTTCAGGGATCAGTTGGTGTACATCCAGTGCATTTGGCCAGACCGGCAAAATGATAGTGACGGAGTGAAGATATTTGTGTTTTCCATCCGTTACTCTCATCTCTGGACTGTATTCGCACTTTCCATCAGGCGCGGTGCAGTCATTTTGTCGAGTCGCAAGTCACAAAAAAAAAAAAAAAAAAAAAAAAATACTAATTTAACTACATCTTGTAGCAGTAGAGCTCCTTGTGAAGAGTTCCGGTTTTGAAGGGCAAGGATGCTGGTGAAATTACAGGCACATGGGACTTGTCCACGTGGCATTGCCCCTAAGATCTTTGCGACTTAAAGCTTTAAGTGGCACTACAACTGTCATTATTAATTCCACTCTTTGTCAAGTCTTCAAGATGTCGTGTTAGCAAAAAAAAACTTGAATATCACGGTGATTCACGAATTGCGTCTCGTGATGCGATGACGGAGTTTCCCGGACCTACGATAATGTTACTGACTTCGGCACGTTTGGTCTATTCTGTAGCTGTACCTCGGCGAATTGAAAAAGTTCATGTTTTCAAGTTTTACGTTTTGTATCGATCTTTTCGTCCTTGCTTTGCCGCTAAGTTTCAAAGGCACCCTTTGTAACATATTTCCTTTTAAAGTGGTCAACTTTAGAAATTTTAAATAGGGTCTCACGAGTGGCGATTTTAGACGACTTCAACCACGCGAATCATAGTTGCTAATGTTACTTAGGAACCGAGTTGCATTCAGTATGTGACGTTCGTTAACTGGAAAATTTGCGGCAATATAATCCTACAGAACACGTGCACGGAGTCGTTACACTTTTGATATGCGTAATTTTAAAACTTTTTGTTTTTGATTCTTTTGTTACATTTTAAATCACGTAACTGTTTACAAACATTTTTATTATTTGAGATGAGGCGTAAGACCTAATATTTAAAATTTTACGTATTTATGTAATGCTACCAACTGCCTACCCCAACAAAGAAATGTTATGCATTGTCCCAAATTTTTATGCAAAGATCATGGCCCATAATCTGACCCGGTTGATGCACGGTTTGCGTACAAAAACCGTATTCGTTTTAAATTATACAGTGATAAACCACTTTTTATTTTATGTAAGAAAAGTATTGAAAATTTGCGGGGTTAACATGTAATAGGGCAATAAGGATTTAAAATTAAACATATTTTTGATTGTACGAAAACCCTAATTAGGTCATTGTTAGACTTTCTATCAAAATAAATATCGTCACACTCATGCACGAACAATTCGCGGTTAGTTGTAGTAGGAATAAGACCGAAATCATACTCTGGATGATCAACTGATCAACAATAAATAAAAAAACACAAATATTTTACACTAACATACATTTTTATGTAAAAAAATGTTTCTTTATTCCATAATTCCCAGTACTCACAGTAAAGCGCCACATACTATTGTAAGGTACTCCTTTATTTTTTTTTATAAAAATATAGCCATATGTCATTTCTGTACGCCGTGGATATGGTTTTTATACTTTGGTGGGTCATGATCTTTTGTAATATAACCTATTTACTTATTTATAAAACAGATGTACCTACCAGTTAATGCGTAACTACGTATGTTATGGATGTATATTAAACGTTCTATGTTATGTATACTTTATCATTAACATGACAATGTCATTGGTCCAATGAACCCGAGCATCCTTGAAACTTTTATATCTTCGATAGATAAGTTGTTTTCGCAGTAGCTGCGAGTAAAAATAATTCGTTACGTGGGTTTTTGCAAGATTTTCTTGGGTTTTATCAATCCACAACTGCCAACACTGTTAATATTTTTATTATACGTTGATGATGATTTATTACTTCATTTGTTTCGTAACTATAGTTCAGAATAGGGCGGTTTGCATTAATATTAAACAAAACGTAACGATTCATCCGTACAACAAGGACCTATGTGCAAGATGCTGCTTATTCTCAAGACATTGCACATTTCGTTTGTTGTTCTTGACTGTGGATATCCACAGTTGAAATCGACTTTTATTCGATTTTATTTTTCCGAAACGAAATAATAAATGCACAAAAAATCTGAAAACACCTTTAGATTAACGAGAATTTGTTTTATCCTCTTTTCGCTGTATAATCACATAGATTTCTGTTCTTCGGATGAGTCGGTAACACAACAGCAGTAGAGCTCCTTGTGAAAGAGTTTCTGTCGCCAAGCAGTAATCTTAGCATTACTGCGTTCCGGTTTTGAAGGGTAAGGGGTGCTGGTGAAATTACAGGCACATGGGACTTGTCAATTTATGTCTCAGGGTGGCGGTCGAAGTGGCAGTGCCCCTCAGATCTTTGCGATTTAAAGCTCTGAGTGGCACTGCAACTGTTATGGACACGCGTGTAGCTTACCATCAGGCGCACGACTTGTTCGTCCCGTCACTTGATGTACATAAAAAGTATATAACAGTAAAAAAAAAACTGGTTGATTACGACCATCTCAGTAAGCCATCACAATGGAACTGTGAAGAACCAGAAACGTTGAACCAAATATTCGGGATTTAGTTCCGGAATAAATCGTTACATTTTTTTTTGTAAGATTTTTCTCACGAGTCGCTGAATTTACGTAGGATTCGGCGCTTCTTACTCGCTGTTCGAGGTTTCCGACTTTTGGCTGGTGTATTGAACTTGTTTTAAACGTAAATAAGGCACGAAATTGGGTAAAAACTATTTATTTTAGCATCATCATGATGCCGTACCTTGGCACTTTCAGTCGTGTGATCATTGACTTACAATTATATGGACTTCGGGTCCTCGCTAAAAAGTGTCCGAACTTATAGGGCGTGAAAATCGTATACAGAGCGTCATTCACGCTTTAGTCTTCGTTTGTTCGACTGACAGCGCGCTTGTCAATGATGCCGTATTGTGTAGTAAAACCTTGTAAAAGTTACTCAACTAAAGTGAAAAAACAGGATTACCATCCTGTTCAACAAGCTCAACTTGCACCGCGAACAGATCAAGAATTTTAGCTAAAAATGATGAAATGTGCGGTAAATGAGTGTAAAAATACGTCAGACAAACATAAAATAGGTACTAACATCACATTCCACAAGGAAGTAACGCGTTTCAACTTGTATTTTTATATAAATATTCACTAAAAACGAAAATTAACTTACTACTAAAACTAGCCTACATGAATTTGATTTTTGCCTCACTTGTGACAGTTCGTTTGATATGAAACTATCATTCTATGCGTTATACACACAAGCTTTGAAATATTTAGAACAAAAATTTCATACAGTCGCTTTGATGCTAATGTTATTATTAAAATATTTTTTTAATCATGTATTAATTTAGTAATACTTTCAAATATTGTTGTACTTTTTCTACGGCTTGGGGTTACGAATCAGAAGACCGAAAATACATTTGCCCGAAATAACATTTGCATGAATTTCCATAATCCCGAAAGTATTTTTGTAGGTTTTTTTTTAGAATATTACAAAACAAACCTAAGCTAACTTAGTATTTTCTTTGTAATAAGCATCCAAAACTCCCTAAAGCACAACGGTTTTATTATGAATCGGTTTTCAGGATTATGAAAATTTGGCTTTACGTTGAATTTGAATTTAAAAAAATCGAAACATCGGTACATTTCTTATGGCATGGCATAATAAATGTATTTATTTCAGTTTTCCTCGAGATCCTATACTTTGCTCACTATGGAGAAATATAATGGTGTTTTTTTGCGCCTTTCAATTGTTGCGAGCAAAATTAGAGAGTACTGCGATGACATTACAATTTAAATTCAATGTTTTAGCTTTTTCATATTCCTTTACATGTCACTACGTTTAAATAGGTTGACTTGGGACATTTTTTTCGTGGTTTTTGTATTAGACCCGTCGTTCATTTATTTGTAAGTCAATGCGTGTGATCTACAAATACTGTTTATTTTGGCAGTAATGCCAACCCTGAAAATTTGTGTTGGGGTTGCCAACAGTCACATCGGAAACTTTGCAATTTTTAGGCTCTGAGAGGTTAAAAAATCCAAAGTGGCATAGTTTAATGGCTCTAATACATTGTCGCAGGCGCATATAATGTCCGGCGTCAACGGCACGGCTGAACCGATGATCCGTCGAGTGAAGCAGGAAGCAGAACCTCCACCAGTGTATTCTCCTCCTGAGTCACATATTACCCAGCCTCTTCATCAGAGACATATGCAGATCATGCAGCCAGAGGTAAAAACTCCACATTTAAAATTTTAATACAAAATCATTCGTCATTAACCCTTTATTAGAAGGGTTGTTTCTCAATTAAGAGGTCTGCGGTTTGAATCCTTGTCTGGTGGCATGTACCGTTAATTTCAAAGGTACGTACATGTTTAGTAGCACGACCTTTGAATAACGGTAAAAGTAAACGTCGTGATGAAATCTACACGTCGAAGAAGGTTCTCAACCATTTTAAAATTGTAAAATCAGTTTAACTTGTAATGGGGTGATTTACTAAGCATCATTATATTTAAAAAAAAAAATAAAGCTGGGAGGATAAAATACGTGCTAAATTTTAAAGGTATAATATCTGACTTTGTATAAATATCTCTTGAAAATTTTTTTCGAAGTTGTAGAGATACTACTAGAACGTATACTCTTCTCTTGGATTTTTTATAGGCCAGGATTCAAGGATTACTAGTCCACATTTTAGGTATTGTGATTTGAATCCACCATTCCTTGTTTTCAATAGCTGGATCTCCAGCCCAAAGAAGAAATCAAATTCTGCGTGTCTCCCTCTGAAACCGTAGTTGGGAATACCAGCCCGGAGCAGCAACACTGCTCCTCTACAACTGCTGCAGCGGCCACTGGTGCCAGAGATGACGACCCTCCGAGAAGGGAGTGCCTGGTCTGCGGAGATGTGGCATCAGGTTACCACTACGGAGTGGCCAGCTGCGAAGCTTGCAAGGCGTTCTTCAAACGGACCATACAGGTTTGTGATGATTTCTTAACGCATCCCGATCGAAGGACCATTCTTGATCATTTCGTGACGAAAAGGGTACTTGTTGTTTACAAAGGTGATAGATACGGCGGTACTTTAGAGACATAACCGATAAAAAAATTATTATTTTTGCAAAGGGGTATTCCCTTTCTAAACTCCAATAGATTTAATAAAACGTGCTCGGGTCAGTCGAATATTTTTATGAATGATTTTTTTATTTCTAAAGTTGTATGCTGATTAATCAAAATTCATTACACTAAAGATTACGTATTAATAAATAGTCTACTAAGTCAGTGTTATCGGTTAATTCTTAACCGACAGAGATGGGGAAATAAGCTTAGAGAAGGGCCATGTAAAATATTTTATTATTTTTAAGTGTTCATAATTTGTGGTTGCTTATGTCTGTGGACATGGCACCCGCGATACAGGGTTTCTGATGCGGGCTATGAGTATGTGCATTATTATTATTCTCCAGGGCAACATAGAATACACGTGTCCAGCATCAAACGAGTGCGAAATCAACAAGCGGCGCAGGAAAGCGTGTCAAGCGTGTCGATTCCGGAAATGCCTGCGCATGGGCATGCTACGCGAAGGCGTGCGCTTAGATCGTGTGCGCGGGGGCAGACAAAAGTACCGCCGCGTGGCTGACCAGGCACCTGCCGTTCATCAACCAAGACCACAGCTCGATGACATTAAGGTAACAAAAATTTAACGTTTTTTTTAAAAAGTGCGCATTTGTACTCCGTCCATCTCACCTGATGGAAAGTGACGGTGCGGTCGACGACGGAGCACGCGCACCTATACTCAAGCCACATTTGACATGGACTGTTTAATAACAAAACATTGCTAGGCAACCAATGATGTTAGGTGAAGATAAAATTTTTTTGTTAAAGCTCATTTAGACCACCGCTATCCACTGCCTGAATTTAAATAGGTAAAAAGGTAATTGGTTTATGTAGAAGTAATACATACCTAGCCAATGATTATAAATGTATCTGTTTATACTTATTATTTATTGAGTAAACTAATTAAGTTTTTGAATCCTATTAACATTTACTTCTAAATAGTGGGTTATAGTAGAAGGAAAGAAACAATAAGATTTTATTTTATATTAATTTATTACATATTTTATCCACCATCTTGAAATGCTACCGAAAACAAACATTAGGGTTGACCCAGTTTTATAAAATTAATTACTGGTACTTTGTATGTTATTTTCAGGTGATTTGAAAGTTGTATTGAATAAAATTCATCACACACATGACAATCAAGATTCTCAATAGCGTAATCGAATTTCGGGGAAAAATTGTGGTGACCAGTCTTGAAGTGAAAGCCCTAAGATTTTTGTTTTTGTTCTTTGACATTTGTTCTACATCGAATTTGGCTTGAGTATAAATAATGCTTATTTACGCATTGAAAAGGCCCAAGTTGTAGCGTTCAGGGAATAAGTCTGCAGGCAGGGAATTTACTCCTTAGCCATTCGGCATATCGATGTGGTAGCGTGACACGAATCCTAGGAATATCCAAGTTGTCTTTTACTTTACAGACACCAATTGTTTTTTTATCGATCATAATACAGATCCTGGAAATATATGGTTAGCAAGATCTTTATGCATCAAAACATCGTTCCAGGTCCTTGAAGCTCTAAATTCCTATGAACCAGAAATCTTAACCTGCGGTGCGGCGCCAGCTAACGTGACAGACACTGTAGCCAAAACATTGTCCTTACTGGCAGACCTCTATGACAGAGAACTGGTCAGCGTTATCGGCTGGGCCAAACAGATCCCTGGATTCACTGACTTGCAATTAAATGATCAGGTGAGTTTTTTTATGCGTCTGGTGGTAAGCGACACGCCTGTCCATAACAGTTGCAGCGCCACTCAGTGCTTTAAATCACAATTATCTGAGGAACACTGCCACTGTGCCCGTCACCCTTGAGACATAAATTGATAAGTCCCATGTGCCTGTAATTTCACCAGCACCCTTACTCTTTAAAAGCAGAACACGTAATGCCCATATTACTGCTTAGCGGCAGAAATAGGTGAGGTAGCCGTACTTCCCTGGACAAACTTTTTCACACGGAGCTCTTCCTGCTACTCAATGTTTTCAAGAGTCCTCAGGCTTTTAGGTATCAGGTATGGTCCAAGTGGTCCATGGGTCCAAGTCTCGTCAATCCTGACTGCTCTCTCAATGAGAATAGTATTTCGATGTTTGGAGGTCTACTACGACATTGTCTAGAAGTCTACGACGACATTATCTGTAGCACCTGCTACGGCGGCGAGAGGTTATTACTACGAAACATTCATGAGTAAATGCCGCAACATTAATTCAAACCGTCAACCTACCATTTACCAACGCTCTATTGTTTATATTCCTAATATCATAGACATATAAAAGTTTCTGAACAGCTGTTTTAGCATTTTAAATTTGTAACGTCGTTAAAATGTCTATGTATAATGGCGGCAAGGTGCTTTTTTAAAAAGCTCTATGAAAAGCTTGGGAAGTTTTAGCAAACTTGGAAGACCTAAAAATGCTAAAAACATTATTACTACACTTTGTAGCATAGATAGACTGTATTTATAGTCTAACTGCAACATGTGGTTCATATAGCCTGGTTATCAATTAAGTTTACAAGCTAACCAAACATATCACATGTTGCAGATAGACTATTCATATAGTCTTATCTTTACTACACCGTACTACTATTACTAAGTAAAAACTTATTTTACTTGATTTTTTGTGTGAACCATTACGGGTTATGGCAGAATATAAGCGAGGGCAATATACTCCATAGCCTCCAGTAACTAGGTCATTGATACTTTTGTCATATTTTGTTTGTTGTATTGCATAGCAATAAAGTAATTTGATTTTAACAGAACACAAATAATATGTAATTTAAACACTGTTCAATAAACATTTTTCATTTTCAAACATTCACAACAGCGTTTTTTTCACAAAAGGATTTTTTTTCTAAGTGCACGATTTTTGTATTAATAATTACCCTCAGGGCGCGTTTCCATTTTGTCGTGACGACAGATAGTCGTGCAGTTTTAAGTGTCGTGGGTTGAATATTTAAATGAGATTGTTCACATATAGCACGGCACGATTAACTGTCGTTCACGACTTTTTCGTCATTACGACGACGGACTGTCGTGACAATGGGAAGAGCTAGAACGACAGTCATCTGACGATAAATAAAACGTCACGTTAAAAATATGACGACTGATAATCGTAACTTCAAACGATTCTGTCGTACAAACGACAAGGCGGGTGCCGTGAACCAATAAATTATTGTCACTATCTAGCCGGAACAGACACAACAGTCGTACAACATACAATACACGTCCACGACAGATAGTCGTTATAACATAAGAATAGGTTCAAAATCAAAATAATCTTTATTTCATAGGTAACCATTATTACACTTGAAAAGGTCACATTGGTTAAACTCTATCCCTCATTCGTAAGGCAGATTCCCCTGAGAAGAATGAGCAAGAAACTCTAGGGGTTGCTCTTTGTAAATAACATTTACAATATTTTTTTTTTATTATTTGAAACATCAGAGATCGAGACTACCTCCATGAGCTAAACGGTTTACTACCACGGTTTTTTGTCATCCAAGTACTCAGAAGTTGTATAATAACCTTTGGTATAAAGTTTTTGTTTCACTATAGTTTTACATCTCGTGAAAGGCAAGTTTTGTTTATCAACCGGATTCTTGTTATAGAAGCGTATACATTGCCACTTAAATGAAATTAAGAACAGCTAGTTTATTTTTATTCCTCGTATTAATGTTATGTCTGTCACTATTTTTCCTAAATAAATTTGTTAGGTTAGGTAGACGCGACAGTCTTCCAACGATAAATAAAACGTTACGACATAATGGGAACGCGCCCTTATATTTTTCAAATTATGTTTCCAACCTATAGGTACAGCTAAAATAATAAAGTGACAACCCTACGCTCCGAGGGAAGTGTAGACATAAATGTACCGAACATTCGGGAATTGCCCCACTTTTTTATTATTGTCTGAGGGTCTACTCTTTTTCATCGTCCGAAACAATTACCGTCAAATAAGTAATACTCGACTAGTTTAAAAAAACAATGTCAAGTATGAGGCTTCAATCGCATCAGGCGTCTCTTATTTTGATAGAGTATTTTTTTTTATAATACCTAGTGACAGGACAAACGAGTCGCGCGCCTGGTGGTACGCGACATGTATATCCATAGCAGTTGCAGTGCCATTCGGAGCTTTGAATCGCAAAGATCTGAGGGGCACTGCCACTGTGCCCGTCACCCTGAGACATAAGTCGACAAGTCCCATGTGCCTGTAATTTCACCAGCACCCTTACCCTTCACAACCGGAACGCAGTAATGCTCGCATTACTGCTTGACATTCACAAGTTCTACTGCTACTAAAATAATTTGATCGAGTATTATTTATTTCACATGTAATTACAGGGCCGGTATAGGTCAATTGTTATTTACGTCGTTTGAAGGCGAAACAAAAACCTTTGTTACAAAATAAACGGATTATCCATTCTCGCAAATGAGTTCTTGGTATCAATCGCTGAATTCGTGCCAAAAGCAACGCGTACAGTTGTCAACAACGCTTCAAAACGTCAATTTTAAAAATAGAAACGAATCAAAGCCGTTTTGTAATAGCCCAACAAGTTCTTTGTCTGCCCACCTTGTCATAACTAACCTGTCAGGTTGCAAAAATTTAAGAAGAATTCACAACCAAAGCCACGGAAAGTATATGTCGTCTCTGATGACTGCGTTCTACTTGAATAGATACAACTGTCTTCTGGGGTAATAAGCATTGGTTACTTTCTAGAAAAATTACGTTTTTGATGAAATTATTTGGTTGTGGTTAGTTTGGTTTGGAGAGTCCCCACATAATCCCTGAGTCTCCCTGGGCTCAGGGGTAATCTATTAAGATTTCCCCCCGTCAAGGTTAGTTCCATCGAGTATATAACCAGAAATAAAGACGAAATGTCATTTAATTTGTTTGAAAACTATTCTACCAAATCATTACGGTGACAACTGCGCGCCGATTGGCCATCCCGTATTCGAAGCAATTGACGAGTGTCGTCAAATATTTCATTTCAAATCGACCTGTTTTACTTGAGTTTTGCTATAATGGACGAAAATTGCAAACTTACATATTTGAAATTTAATTACCGATGAAATTTGATTCCGTTTGTTTTGTTATTAGGTGTTTTGCTGTTTTTCCCCACAGCAGCGAATGGAACAGCACGCCATCATTACAGATATTATGTTTATTACAATAAATGCAGAATATTTTTGGAATATACGGAGACGTACACACGGTATATATTCAGTGCAAACGAGAGTTGATATAAAAGTGATGTATCACTGATGAGTTCCCAGGAATGTACGACCCTTATTCCGTCTCTATTTCTGGTTATATACTCGGTGTTTGATAAATTGCATCGTGTCAATGTGAAACAAATTAATTACAAAAATGCTATTTGGTAGCCGTCGCGACATCTGGTTTGCCAATAGGAACTAAATACCGATCGATCGAAAAGTCGATCCCGATTAGCAGTCCCCTTGGGTTCATGGTTATGATAAGGTGTGTTCTCTGGTGTTAGAGCAGCGCGAGAATTTTGCGAGAATTGCTTATAAAGGCTGTATATTTGAAAGTGGGACATACTTATCGAGTGCGTTATATTCCTGATTCTGAACCCAAAGAAATAATAAACTAATGAAATTACAAAAAATATTTTTTTAATTTTTTTTATCGACTACTACTTGAAAACAACATTAGTTGTCGAAATCTATGCACATCACTATTATTGCTCCAACGCAGCGGCAGGTGGCGACAGGGCGGCGAAATACAAAGCACAGGTCGGGGGTGGGGGCGCGAGCTCATACGCGAAATAGCTCAGTGCACGCGCGACCTTGATCTAACGAAGACACGTAAATTATTTCTACTTCCGCTCGCCCGATCGCCGCAAAATGGATATTTATTCTAACGTCGAATTGACTGAGATGGTGCGACTTTACGCAATAAGTGGTGATAGTGTGAGGCAAGCTATTGAAATGTTCCCAAATCGGATTTTACGCAGAGGAGGTGAACAGTGTCGAAGTGTTGCGTGAGAGGATTATCTCAGCATTTTATACTGTGAGACAAAATGTGTTTGTGTTGTACAATTTAAAACAAAATTTACTATGCCGTGTGAGACTATGCTTTGTGGGAAACGGTGGACATTTTGAACACTTGCTCCGTACCACGTAAGTGTAAATAAACTGTAAATAACTAAAAAATTAATCATTGTAGATAATTTGATTTCACATTTTTAACTACGCCAAAAACCTCAATTCTTATGATAACCAGTTACTAAATCATAAACTTATCTTTTTAGTACGTAAAACATTTCGATGATAGTTCAAGTAAAAAATAATTAACATAAGCTAAAACGTAAACTTGAAATTATTGTTATTGTTGCTGTCTCACTCGGCGCTCGCTTGGTAGTATTCCCATTGCACTCGAAATCAAGCGTAAAGGGAAACGGTTCATTCCTATGTACACTTGAAAACACATTTTGTTGATTTATTTTTTGTTCTATCCCATATCCTAATTTTATTTTAGTCTATGTTAAGTTGTAACATGATTTACTATGACATGTATGAATATGTCTCACTTTTAAATATACAGCCTGTATAAATATAGTTTAAAGACTGGTCATCAATATTACATTTGAAATCTTAATTAATTGGAAATTAAACTAATTTCCGGATTTAAATAGTGTATATTTGTTTTTTCAAACAAATTAACGATTCCGGCCCTTTACAAGTTTCATGTTCGTGGGTGACTTAGCTCAGCAACAAATGTATGCAATTTAGCTTTTTTTATGATACCGAGAGACTAACGAGACGTTGCAGAGCCACTCAGATATATAAATAGTTAAAGACTTAAAATAAAAATAAAATAGTTTTACTGCTCCCTATAGTTCACATGGAAATCGAAACAAAACAATAAACGTTGTTCTTAATTCAAATTGTTACAATATATGGTATACATGATATGAAGATGATAAATTTAATAATTACTGGACATGGTAATTTGTATTCGGGTGTATTTGGAATACTTATTTTATTGAACATTATGACGTTTTTACTACCATGATTATCATTATGTTTTTGATGGAAATACTCCACTAGTTTGTTACCTATTATTATTGATACAAAAATCGGTTAAAACAAAGAAAAATTCCTTTCATCGAGCTGAACATGAACCAGCGTCTGTTGCCACACCGGGCCCACCGCTCTTACCAACTGAACTTGAAGTTCGAGTTAGCAGATCTTACGAATTTCGAATAATACACTTAGAAGTTTCGAATAGTTAAGACTTGGAATGAATTTGTCAATTGTTGTCAGATGCGTCTCCTACAAAGCACATGGGCAGAGATGTTGAGCTTGACGATCGCGTATCGCTCGATGGGTGCCAGTTCCTCGGCTGTGCGCCTGCGCTTTGCCACTGACCTCACGTTGGATGAGCAGCAGGCCAGGGAAATTGGCGCCACAGAACTGTTTGCACAGGTGAGTTGTTTTTATTTATTTAATCACATTAAAATGTTTTATGTCCGTATTATAAGAGCTAAAAAGTAGAGTTGCAGGTTACTATTCGGTATTTGAACTTATTCGGCCTATTTTTGTCATTCAGTCGAATACCGAAAACAGCACGAAGAATTAAAAACAACGCAGTAAATTCTCATGTAACTTATTGTTAATGCTGAACATACATTGTACATTTTTCGCATAAGCATAGTAATTATTTGAAATAACAAAGAAAATATGATTTTTTTCTGAGATATCAAAAAAGTCATAAACCAAATGTGAGTTACTCGAGAATTAACGCGATTGGCGTAGCGTAGTGACAACGAGCCGATCAGAGAGCGGTTGCACAATTTTTGCCATAATACGATTTGCGTGCTAATTGTCATACGTGCGTTAATCGGTATTCGAGGCCGAATATTCGTTGCAACACTACTAAAAAGATGTGCGTTTCGCGTCTTTTTCGCTCTTATTGCACGGGACGTAAAGTTTTTTCGGACGGACTTAAGCTGTATAACACTTTAACTCCCTTAAAAGAATATGTGGAACGAAATGTACATGGAAGACCGGTTTGAGAGTGACGACCATGAACTAGTAGATACTATGCAATGGTTAGCGTTCAACGGGCACGAAGCGAAACATTAAAAAATGGGATTTAAGTAACGATGATTAATGTAGGAAATACAACTATTTTTCCGGATTTAAATCGCGTATATTTGTTTTTTCAAACAAACCGACGTTTCGGGCCCTTTACAGGGTGTCTACTCTCGATCTCCGTCCCAAAACAATTACTGTCAAATAAGTAATCGACCCCTCCTACGTAAAGTATCGTATGTCGAAATTGCCAAGTTTACAGGGAAGCGTTTTACAATTCTCAGTTTTATTCGGCAAAGCTCGTTACTCAAATAGAGTGATCATCTAATACATCATCTAACCGATATCTAGGATTTTATAATACTCTATGTGAGTAGCGAGCTTTGTCGAATAAAACTGGGAAATGCTAAAGGCACGTGTTGTGCTTATTTCAGTGAATTCAGAATATTTAAAAGGCTCCTCTGTAAACTTGGCAATTTCGACATACAATACTTTACGTCGGAGGGGTCGTAATATTCGACAAAATTAAAAGACAAGTATCAAGAATGAAGCTTCATTCGCATCACGCGTCTCTTCATTTGGTCAAATATTGCTTATTTGACAGTAATTGTTTCGGACGGATATCGGACGGAGATCGAGAGTAGACCCCCAGGTCCCATGGTCACGGTTGACTCACCTAAGAACACGAGATGATTCAAGTAATTTATATATAAATAGTAGGCTTATATGGCAATTAATGACTTCTAGCACTAAGCCGACGAAATAGTGATTGAAATTACCATCAAATCAAACATTGTATTTTAGGAAAACAAAAATCGACTTGTCGTCCCTGCCCACTTGAGTATTTTGTACATTAATATAATACACCCGTAATATAATACGCTCTATGAAACAGACGTTAAAGTTTATTTAATTATGCAAAATAGGTGCGCTTGTGTTGTTTTTTTTTTACGCAGTTAATTTTCCCACCGCACCGTCGCGTGGAATAAATAACATAATATGCAACTATAGTCACAAAGACCACCAAAAATGTATTCGACACTTTATATTGAATATTTATTTATTCAATATAAAGATGTTTTACGTCATTTACATAGTGTTGGGTCATGGAAAAAATTACATTTTGAAAAAATCATATTTTTCAGAAAAATAAAATATTTTCCTTATTTTTTCCAATATTTATCCGCATTTGACGTTGACACGTGTCAAAACTTGGAGTTACTGAACGAAAACGATGAAGGCATTAAAAAGGTTTTTTTCGCTGTTGTCCCATCACTTTAAATCTCGTTTCTCTCTGACTTGCTTTTAGCTAAACAATTTTATTTTATAATTCACGCTAAATAAAACTTCAAAAGCTATTTCTAAGCGAAGAACGCAATACGAGCCTTTAATTTTTTCTTACTCAACAGGACTGTTATGACATTCAATCATATGTTTTTTTGGGAAAATACACCACTAGTTTGTATTGAACCCTAAGAAAAATTTCTTCAATCTGACTTGACTCAAACCAGTACCATGCCAAGTATAGTATAACCGTGTCAACCCAAAACTGCGTAAAGGATTTTTCGGTATTTTGTGATTTTTGAGGTCAACAACATAAAAAGATACACGTAAGTTACATTTTACATTAGAGATTAAAGAAAACTATCTAGCTATTATCATTTTGCTATTGATAAATGAATATATTTCTTTTCCAAGGTTTAATTGGTTTGTATTGCAAATAACTATTTTGTAATCATTTATTCTTCAGTACTTTTAAGTTTTAATTGTGTCTACTGTTTGTTGACCCGGATAAATAAAAAACACAGCCGAAAGATTCTTGCTAAGCGCCTTGCGGTGTTGTGGTCGGACACGGCAGAGCAGAGACGTGGGAGCTAAGAAGCGCTTGCGCAGGTGGCGGGCGTGTGCCGGCGGCTGGAGCGCGCGGGCGCGCTGCGCGAAGAGTGCTTCCTGCTGAAGGCGCTGGCGCTGGCCAACTCCGAGGCGCGGCTGGACGAGCACGCGGCGCTGCGCAAGTTCCGCGACCACATCCTGCAGGCACTCAACGACGCCGTCAACGCCCTCAGGTACCTGCCGCAGCATTTCTAACTCCCACATCGACCCCTCCTGCGCAAAGTCTCGTATGTCGAAATTGCCAAGTTTACAGGGGAGCGTTTTAAGGTTCTGAATTCACTGAAATGAGCAAAACACGTGACTTTAACATTTCTCAGTTTTATTTGGCAAAGCTCGTTACTTTAAAACTCGTTCTCGAATAAAACTGAGAAACGCTAAATACACGTGTTATGTTCATTTCAGTGAATTCAGAACTTTAAAACGCTCCCCTGTAAACTTGGCAATTTCGACATACGATACTTTACGTAAGAGTGGTCGATGTAATATCGAACAACTGTCGCAATAAGAATAAAGAATACAACGATGCAATTAGTAAGTAAGTTAGAACACCATAAAATGGGGTAAAGCGGCAGATATCCAAACCATATTTGTGTTGCAAAAACCAACGATTCGTTCTGTGTACCATTTAGGATCTCGGGTTTCTCTCGGAGAAAAGTTTAAGGAGACTGGTATCATGACATCACAGTACATTTACTCAAATATTTTGTATGCCCGTAAAAATATACATAATTTCGTTAACAAAGAAGTTATCCATAATATTAACCCTGGAACTAAGTCCGAACTCATGGTACCACGATTTCGTTTAACTAAGGTAAACGATTATTTTATAGGGAACTGTATACGTTTTTACAATAAGACTCCGGATAATATATTAAGAATATCATATCCTAAGTTTAAAACTTACATTAAAAGTATTTTAATTGAAAAGTGATATTACAAAATTGAAGAGTATGTTTTAGATAAAGATGCGTGGAAAGACAACGTGAGTCTAGATTCCACACAAATATGATTTAAAATGTGTTCCATAGCTTTTAATTTTATTTGAAAAGAGCAATCCCTAGAGTTTCTAGCTCATTCGTGTCAGAGGGGGGAGGTCAGCGCAGTGAACGGGCAGGAGTTTAAAAAATGACGTTTTCAAGTGTAAAAATTTTACCTATGGAATAAATGATTATTTGACTTTGATAACATTCACCATTCAGGAATTATTGCCAAAATTTTACCTTCTTTCACAATCTATCAATCTGTCGACAACTATTACACGACTATTTAAAATTTTACGAAAACAGTCGAAAAATGACAGACTACAAGAAGACACGTTTACATCTAAACTGACTTCTTTTTTTAATTTTCAGGACATACAACGCAAATGCGGCTCTTCAGCAACTATTACTAGTGCTGCCCGCGTTACGACACGCCGACGTGGCCGTGCGCCGATTCTGGTCCACGGTCCATAGAGAACGACGCGCGCCCATGAACAAGCTCTTTGTCGAAATGCTCGAGGCTTGCTTACGGTAGACACTCTACATCTGTGGTTGGTGAACTGTTGTCTATAGTCGTGAGTTGTCTATGCCCTGCTGCCTGAAATGCAGTTGTGGTCTTCATAGAAGCTTCTTTCTTCTTTGTATTTTGTGGGTTAAATAGTGATCCTCGGACTCCACGGTGTCAGTGTTGAACATTATTTTTTAATCGAGTAGATCGGCGCTGGGCCGCGACTGTCTGTTTAGAGAGTCATTGCTTCATTGAAATAAAAACATATCACCGTAGCAGTGAGTTGTTTGCCATAATTTATTAGTCTGCATTTAATTTCGGACAGATAATGTTAAAATTGTGTGTAAATAAGGTATTTATGTCAGGTGTTCGTACCTGTAGAATTATGGCTGTGAACTGGCAGGCAATCTTGCGGAGGGAGAAATTGTTCTAGAAATATCTGTATAACTTTTTAGGTTGTTTTTGGTGGTAAAACGTCGCGTCCCCGCGCCTTCAATGTACAAAACAATGGACGGATTTAGTACAAAACTTGTTACTATTTTTGTATAATATTAAAAGTTAATTATCTAGTTTTACTGTGCATTAGGCTTCGAGATGGGTATGGTCGTGGAAGAAAAATCATTTTCCTAACGCTCGTAGATTGATTTCTAGTGTTGCCATTTTAAAAGTTTCAGTGAATATTTATGAAACTTCTTTAAAATGGCATCAATTTCAAATATTTCAGTGACTGACAACTGTTTGTGGCTTTTTTTGTCGAAAAAACTTTCATTAAAAAAATCACAAACACATTATGAAATAAAACAATTCGTTTTGTACGACAGGCTTAAAATGGCTGAGATATAGGGATGTACTGTTAATTTAAAAAAAAGTGTTAGAGGTAAATTTTTGTATAGAAATTTACAAGAACATTCTTTTATCAATACAATTTTGTCAACAACTTGGAAATAAATAATGGGAACACTATTTACCATAATATTATGTTCTAGATTTGACGATGTTTATAAGGATAGACAAAAGTAAACCTATATAGATTTCTCCTTGACTATACCTGCACCTCTGTCTTGAGTCTACAATGTCATCGCTAGCAACCGCGCAAAATACGCACCTCAACAAAGTGTAGAGAAATATAATAATGAATATAAACGTTTTCCCTCGACTTTGTCGAGTAGTATATTTATTTATATTTACAACTCTACGTGCATTTGATTACTTTTTGGTATTTTTATCATTTTATTTATATATTTAAAATTTTATTTTTCTAGCTTTAAAAATCTACATGTCAGGACAAAATAATAGATTTGTTTCTACAAATTTCTCGATAACTATACTAAATGCCAGTACCGGGGTTTGGAATATTGTAACGCAGGGCGTTAATGCGAGTTTTACCAATATCGTTACCGATAAATTTAATCAATAGATCTAATCCTTCTGTTTCTTGTCCGCCTATATTGTATCTCAGTGCCATAGGTACCTATACAGTTTTTTAAAGTATAAATTTCGTACGTTGTCCCCATAAAATATAAAGACAGAAATAATTAAAACCTGTGCCAGCAAAACAAATATCGAAGACCCACACACCATTCTCTTTCAAACATACATATTAAAGAAAACAAGACATATAATGACGAAATACTTTCATAGATTTCTCATAGATGGCGCTACGGCTAAAATATTGTTGAAAACCCAATACAAATATCCGACAACAAGCGCTTAGAAAAATTCGTGAGGTCTTCTGGTTTGTTCCGTGGCTTAGTTGGCATAGCGTCTGGCACGGTTTGCTAAAAGACGTCGGTCCGAATCCGGCCGGATCTAAGGATTTTTTTTAATGTTCGATCTTTGTGTTCATAATTGGATGTAGTTAAACAAAAAGGATCCAATGCACATCCAGTCACTTTCGCGATATGGCAGTTTGAAGTTTAAAAATGTTTTTCACTCTTGTTTTATTTTTTAAACTTATAATGTCATGTAACTCCAGAGATATTGATTTATGTTTATATGTGGGACTTTTTGCTGATCTAAGAGGTTAAACTTTAGGAACCGTTATTTGATAATTTTGTTGATCGGATCCTTCTTGCTTAATTACGTCCAATCAAAACAAACTAGTGGAGTAATTTCACAAAAAAATAATTGAATATCAATTTTTTTTAAATTTGAAAACAAGACAATTTAAAGAAAAGAAAGCCGAAATAAACATAAAGAGCAGTGTTAAGTAGTTAAACATAATTTAAAAAAGAAATAAAATTTATAATTCGTATGACTGATTACACATTGGCATAATAATTCTCCAAGAGAAGCCAGAAACTAAAAAAAAATTTAGCGCTGCATATTTAGCAATGGGCAATTTATCAAATAATTTACGCGATAGCTAGCGACAGCCTGTCATTGCAATCTCGTGGTAGAGGTAATAATAGTTTTATTTCGATAAGTGCGGGGCCGTTTTCGGCGCATTTATCCCTTTTTTAAAATACCTGTACATACATTATTATGTAAAAATGTAAGTTTTTGTTTTCGTCAATTATATACAACGTATATTTGTTGTATGTTGGAAACCATAGAATTGCGTTTTATGGTTTGTAACACACGTGAATATTTGCGCAAATAAAATTTTTGTATGATACAAATAAAAAATAAATAAATGTAAAATTATATTATTATTGACCAGATATCTTATGTGAATGTTTTTATTTAGATGCAAATGTTTACCTATTTGTAGTATTCTGTACAAATTATATTTAAAACTGTTCCACTTGATTAAAAACGTACTGCTGATACAAGTAGACATTCATGTTGCAGAAAAAAGGCTGAAAGTTACAATAAGGGCGCCTTTAACATTAGACGCTTATAGAAGCGTTGTGGTGATGCGGCCGCGCCACTACTGATTTTTATACAAAATTTAGAAGCGCAATTGCAGCGCCACGGTCGTGACAAGCGCTTGCCACTTTTGCAGCCCCAATTAGTGAACTAAAAATTACTGAAGCGTTACAGACGTTCGGCTGCCGCGCCACAGTCGCGCAGTGGCGCTTCTAGAAGCGTCAATTTGAGCTTCAACAATAAAATTAAAGTTTCGTTTTATATATACGATTACGATTATATACGATTGTCTCATATTCCGCACAAAGTAACGAAATAAAATTATTTATTATATATACATTTTATTATGTATTATATATATACATTTGCGGACAACAGCCCGTTACACCATGCCACAGTTAAAAAAATATGTAAATAGAATGTCTGAATAATTCTGTTATGTAAATGTCTGTTATGTAAATGTTGAGTAGTGGGACAGTATTTTTATATACCTCGATATCCTGTTACCAACTGTCATTTATCTTTTGTTTTTGAAAATATTTTGCGCGGTGGTTTGGACTGGGATTTTAAGAGACTGTTAGACAATATATATTCAATAATGGGTTGCATCTTCTAAATGTCGACTCCCCATTGTCGACACAATCAGTGCCGATTCCACCCATGCCAATTCCACCCGTGTGGAATGTAACATGTCTAGAAATTGACGGATATGAACGGCCAGTTTCTGTGAAAAGCACTTTTGTTATGGTAGACTAGCATGCTAACAGTGTTTTTTGTATGGACAAATCGTCGGTAGCTGAAGTGAGTGTGACTTATATTTTGGTATGAAAATGAGACGGCTAAAGTTCTACATCGGGGGACTAAAAGCAATCCTGTCCTTTAGAACAGTATGAGCTGATAATTTTGCTATAACAAAACTGGTCGTTTATGGTTAAATACCAGAGTAAATTAATCCTTATTCAGAGTAGAAATCAAAATAAAAGTGTAATTTTTATAGATTATAACGGTTAGAATCAATGCTAAAGGTACAAAGTTGTGTATACACAAATAATCTATTATTCTATGTATAGAAAAAAAATCTATTTATAGCAAAGATAAAATATGGTTCGACTAGAAGTGACCAGAACCCCGTAAAACCCAGTTATAACTTCCTTGTCCAAAGTGCCGAACGCCTTCAGAAAGCTGCGAAATGTTTATATTCCAGTGCGTTTTTCTGTTGTAGTTGAAATAAGAATATGTTGTTAGTTAATCTCGGTGTAGAGTCCGGGTTATAACCCGGATTATTATATATAATAGCTATAAGTTGTACAAAGCGAGATGTGCCACCCTTAGATCGTGTAAGTTTTAAATGGTTTAAATGAAGTGCGATTGATCTGCGTTTACTGTAATAAAAGTACAAAATACTAATACTCGAATTTTATTTTATTGATGGCGGGAATAAAAAAACATTAATTGGGATTTTTTATTCCATTTTTTCACTGGCAACAACAGATCTATTTATCCCATGTTCACCATCTGATTACATGGTTTTTTTCCCATTTGTCGCCAGTGGAAATCACCACTGGCAACAACGTGACCGTCAGGATGCCTGGTCGCCTGTGGCATCTCGCACCGAGTGTATATTCAAGAATTGCTACCTTTTCTAAATAATTGCTACCTTTGGTATATTCTGAAATTAAAAAAATAATTGACCAGATATGGCTGATATGGTCGCCACTTTGTTCAGCATAAATGGAGCAGATTTTGCAGAATTATGTATTACCACTAATTGCTACCTATTTGCTGCTTTCACGAATTAAAGGTATACGCTTCCTATCTACATTAGTTTAAAAAATATAAACGATTGAAATTTTTACGATTTACGAAATTATTGGTAAGAGACAAAACTTAAGCGCGTAGAGATATCTCTCTCTTCTCTATCGATTATATGTCACCTCCGAGCACGACGTAACAGGAAGAGAAACTCTACCGTAGACAAAGTTTTTTCTACGCGTACTTTCTGTCTTCTTCCCCAAGGAAAATGGAGATATTTCGCTACGACGATCTGTCAAAAGTATACAAAATTTGTCTGTCGTGCTGTGGTTGGAGAGAAATTGTCTTCGTTTGACATTTGTATGCGCGACAACTTATATCTTACAGCGCTTATGCTCGCGCCTGTAGAGATAATTCGTAGTGACGTCATTTCCGAGAAAAAAATGACAGTTCGAAGAAGAGATAACTTGTCTTCGGGCTCGTGCTAAGCCTGCTGGCAACATATCGTCGGGGATAGTGCAAATCCAATTATGTAGTATTGGTAAAAAGCGCGTACCTGCACTAAACAAAATATCGCAGGAGAGGGATTTAACGTTATTACTTTATTATTTCAATGGCTACGACTTTCATTTTTCCATCATCATATACAGCCTGATTTCACCCACTGCTGGGTATAGGCCTCCATGTTTCTGTGCCACTCCCCACGATCCCGTGCCAATCTCATCCAGTCTTCCTGCGATGTCATCCACCCATCTCGCCGCTGGACGCCTGACTTTCCTGTATCCAGTCCTTGGACGCCACTCAGTTATCGCCTTACTCCGTCTGTCATCATGTCTCCGTATCAGGTGCCCTGCCCAGCTCCACTTTAGCTTCGTGATGCGGTTCCCCACGTCCTTTACCTTAGTTCGGATCTGGACATTGGGAACACGGTCTATAAGCTTGATACCGATCATGACACGCTCCATGGCTCTCTGTGCAACTCTCATCCTATACACAGCCTCCTGCGTGAGCGTCCATGTCTCGGCACCGTAAGTCATTTTTGCATAGTAAGCGTTAATTTAAGTTGTCTACGGACTGATAACAATAGATTCCCGTAAATCACGCTAGTTTGGTTGCCATGAGATTTACGCGAATTTCATTTGGCCACTAAATTACCGAAATGGATACTCACAATCCAATGCCAGTTACGCGTAATTCCATTATCCGCGACGACATGGGTTTTTTCTACCATTTGTCGCCAGTGGGAAAAAGCCAGTGGTGACGACTGGGAATAAGCGGTTGGATCCTGTATTTCAGGCAACCAGGTCTCTACCTCCGTAAGAAATTAAATGAATCCTAGTCATTTAGATAAATACGAAAATATACGAACTTTATTTTTCAGATTTTTATTTCTTATACAAAATAAACACTAATATTTACAAAGACTAACTCAGTTAAACACAGTCATAATTATGTGCGCTTCACACGATGGCGAATTGGTCGTAGAGGAGTTCTCGTACTTTATAATACTCTTCTGACAATACCCCTTCAAGGGCTACGCGGCCATTGTCCAACTGGAAGAAATTAATCAATCATCAATAATTACACTATATCAAATTATCAATTAAGAATTGACACCAAAAATGTGCAATAATTTACCAAAAGCACTAAAGTTATGCTATTTAAAAAACAATTGAACGAGTTATACGTATTATAGTTATAGAAAACGACGCAGACATATTCACACAAAACTACCTTATTTTGACGTTATTCAAATTATTGTTTTTCACATCTAGTTAACAAGGAAAGGAATGGAATGCTCTAACTGTATTTCCCGAAAAGTACAATTTGGGGCTATTTAAGGCTAGAGTGAATAGGCATTTTTTAGGCAAACGCGTCCCATCGTCGCTTAACATCAGGTGAGAGTGTGGCCAGGCGTGAGTCT